ACGGCACTTAACAACAACAACAACAATGTGATAGTTTACATGGGAGAACATTAGCTTTACATTCATCCTATTGTATATCATTTCACTGCCATTGTTACAATCCCCTCCAGGCATCATCAATCAACCAAAGGGTATACCCTGCAGGCCTGCCCCCAGTCGTCAGCACACAGCCCCTCACCCTCTCTGGGTCGAGAGTCCCCAGCTGTTCCCCATCTCCACATTGTCACTGTCTCTGCCTCCATCTCTGGTGTCCCTGCTTCTCTGGGTTGTTGTTGTTGTTGTTATGTGCCGTGAAGTTGGTTCTGCCTCACAGCAACTCTGTACAGGGTTTCCAAGGCTGTAAATCTTTACGGGAGCAGAAAGCCTCATTTTCTCCCATGTAACAGCTGGTAGTTTTGAACTGCTGACCCTGAGGTTAGCAGCCCAATTTGTAACCACTACGCTACCAGAGCTGGGTCCCAAATTCAGCTCTTCTCCCTTGATGGTTCCAGGGGCCTCCGCTCCTAGACCACAAAGTCAAGCACTCCCCTCGTTTTGCTATAAAATGTCTACCTTTACATTTCCAAACATCACAGTCAGTCCTGATAACAATTATTCACTATTGTGCTACATGAGAGCCATCCCCATCTCCTTTAATCAGCCCTGCCCAGACATATTGGATACTACTCCGTGGAGATTCTACCTTCCTCTGTGCCCTCTGGATCTAGGCTCTCTCTTGAAAGCTTGTAAGCCAGTCACTTCTTGCCTTTGTAGCACCCCCATTTTGGGTAGCCAATGTCCAAGTTGCCTATCCTTGTCTACCCTGTGTATCGAGGGGTAGGGATGATCCTCGCTGTAAAGATTTGTTCCCTCTTTTGAGCTACTGCATCCATAGGTGTAAGTCAAGATCATCAAATTGTATCAGATTGCTCCTTTTTTCCTTTTCTTTCTTCTTCTAGTTGAATTCTGATCATCCAGCCATTGAAGCCAGTTCAGGTGGATATTATCTGCAAGTGTGGGTGTTCTTGTGCATATGCCCTCTCTTCTTATCAGCTAGATGCTTCACTCTCCACTGTAGTCCTCTGTGGCTATGTCACTGACTCTGGGCC